GTCTGCACTGTGTGTGTGTGTCTGCACTGTGTGTGTCTGTCTGCACTGTGTCTCTCTACACTCTGCGCTGTGTGTGAGTCTTTGGTGAAAAGGAAGGGAGGGGCCAAGCGGAGGATGTGTCGTTCTCCGGGACACGCAGCTGATTTCAAAATAAAATGCACTCAAAAGCTTACTTGATATACTTTTCTTAAATTTTACATTTAAATAAAATAAAAATGCATAGTTGCACTCATGATCCATACATAACGCGGCACTTAGGATATTTTATTTTGAAATCAGAAAACATGAACGTAATACACTCGCCGTAATAGTTCGTGAAAACGCGCACCATAATTTTGAAGGCAAGCTGGTTAGCTGACTGGTTTGCTGTTTCCGGGGGATGGCTCGACCCAACTTTCAGACCGAAGCTACTTTTACAGCAGGACGGACTTCTATCATGTTGCTTCCATTTTTAATTTCGRCAGCGCTACTTTTCCGAGCAGAATGTTACTTTTCGGAGGAGAAATATCCGGAGGAGTCGAAAATGCAGCCCCCCACCGTGGTTGTCGCCATCCTAGCCCGGAACACCGCTCACTCCCTGCCGTACTTCCTCGGAGCTCTGGAGAGGCTCAACTACCCCAAAGATCGCATCTCTGTGTGGTGGGTACCAGCCAGCCAGCCAGCCATTTAATTAGCACATCACCATTTACATTTATCTCCATTTATGTGATTTATTAAAAAAATATTCWGTCCCATGGTGAGATTGTCTAATGGAGTAACTCAAGTGTTATGTGTCTGTTAGCAAAATATCCCACGAACCACTGAAATAATCAGTGGATGCTCCTTTAGAACTGATTGATTCAAGATGGCCGCCACAGCTAGCATCTGTAACTCATTTTGACACATGTTGAGCTAAAATTAGGCGTTTGGAGCCAAGACTCATAGATTACCTGTGGTGTCCATTTGTTAGCAAAATGTTTAATTTCTGAAAGCAGGGCTGTGCGATATGCATGTTTGGTTTGTAAAACAGSGATGAAAGGGGCCACAATTTATTGTTGACACTACCAGAGGGCCACAT